CCCCCCCCCCCATGTGATGAACAGAAAGACAGAAGTGGAAAGAAACTGACAGAGGCAGACAAGCAGGGGTTGAAGAAGAGGAGGAAGGACAGCGGGAGAAAAGAGAGAAGGGGACAAGGGGAAAGAATAAAAAGAGGGGGATAAGAAGACGGATGGGTTTTGAAATGCTCATCTGATGGGCGTCCATCTTCTCCTCTACAGGCGGAGCAAGAAATAAAAATGCAGGGGTGGAAGCACGTCTGTCTGTCACTCTGTGTTAGGCTCAGCATAATTACTGTGAAATGACAGATACCCACGACTTATAGGAGGGCAGCTAGAGGAGAGAGAGGTGTGTATTTAGACTCAGCCTGCAAGTCACTCACTGCTATTTGTAGCCATGTGAAGATTTGTGGCTCAAAACTAGAGATGCTAAATTAAAGATTTCCGTCTAACAGTGTTTAAACTCTAGACCTCAATGTATTTGCCTTTCAATGTTACCTCCCAAGCAGAGGTTTAGAAAGAGCAGTGCCATGGAAATCAGCAAAGCCCTCAAGGATGCAATCTATCCTAACACGATAAACAATAACCTAATAATATCATTCAATTACATCCAGTAAGCAGGTTTTTTGTGTCTGTTGCTGAGCGACAACATTGAATTGAAGTAAATAAGAATCACTGAAGGCCTTAAAACATTCCACAGCCCCTTATAGTCACAGCTGGTTCAGAAAACATCTGAGATTTCAATGGCAAAACTCTTTATATACAACTCAAAGTTTTAATGAAGGAGTATTCAGGGTTTGCCCTCCTATAGCCTCAGTACTAACACATACTGCAGTGTCCTCTCCTTACACACTAAACTATGTAGAATGGTCCCCAAGCTGCTACATCTTAGATAGTCACATTTGGGTACCTAGTACCTAATAGAGAGGCACAGCACTTTGCCAATGAATGTACAGTGTAAGCCTTTTACAACACAACACATTGGTATTGTTCTAAAGGCCCAGACACTAGTGTGACCAATACTGACAAGGTACCAGGACATGTTTTAACCATATTGTATGTCATCAAACAGATTTAAAAATATTAATGGTTAGAAAAGAAAGAAACAGCTGCTTTAGCCACAATGTTAACAGAAAACAACAAATGTGTTATAAAGGTTTGTGCAAAACAGAAGCAGACTACATAATCATGTGATAGCTTTTCCTTTTTTTCCCTTTTTTTTTTACAAAACAAAAATAACACTCCAAGTCATTTGTTTAATTTCCTCTTTTGTGTAGTGGTGGATAATGTTGTTGTTGTTGTTTGCTGTAGTTGGTTGGGCGTATTATGAAGACGGCAGGCAGCTTGGTCGATCAGTCAGGGGGTCGGTTAGAAATGCGTCTCCTTCTCTGAGATGGTCGATATTTTTCCGTCAACTTTAGGTTTTGCGTCGTTGGCAGCGTAGGGACTGAGGGCGGCGAGTTTTCCTCTCATTTTCAGGTCCTTGCTGGGAGTTGTCAACTTCTTCATTCTCTGCAGAGAGCATAGAGAGACAAGAGGTTATCTCCCACTCGTCCACCACTATATTACCTCTAATAGCAACATTAAGCACATACATCTTACTGTATGCATATAATCATACTGCTTTAAATAAGCACCAATAAACAACCCTAACCCTTTGTGGCTGTGTAATAACTAACCATTATCTAATTTGTACAAAACATTAGACTGAATGGTTATTATTTTAGTTTCGTTCTTTGTTATTCAGACTAGAAGTACAAAGTGAATAGAAGAGCATTGAGGCACTCTGTCGGTAACATAACATACTGTATAAATATATATATCAAATAATATGTCTTCCAGGCATCTGACAAACTTCATCCTAACTAGCCAGCTGGCTTGTTAACCAACTGAACAGCCACTATAATATCAATATACTGCATTGACAAATATATTCAAACAAAAAAATATGTATTCAAACATACAGATACATCCAAATGAGAAGAAATCAATTCTGTCACTAATCTAGGCATCTAAGATTTCTATTCCAAGTTTACCATTTGTAGTCCATGTAAAATTTTATTAGAGATGACCAAAATGTCACTGATATAATTCATCTGCCAAATGCCAGAGGCCACAACAGAAACCTACAATTTGTTTATTTAATGCAATGGGAGTTCATCCAGCTGTGACACAATCCCTCTGAGAAAGTCAGATGGGAAAGATACAACAGCTGGATTCTTTTTACTCTTTCTATGAGTGCAGGTGATACAGGTATAACCTCTCCCTTGAACAACAGTTAATAATGTTCTGCTTCCATGGCTTTTACTACTGTAAATTAAATTCTTAACAAAATGATTTCTACTACAACATCTGGTCACACTGAGATGTTAGCTGACTTGATTTGCTGACTAAGCTGTAAGTCTGTATCATCCACACTGCATTTTAACAATGTTTGCCACAGGGTTAGATTTGTGAACATTATATAATAGATAAATATGAAAGAATAAATCTTTCTATGATCTTTATATCTTTCTACTGTCTTCAAACCAAGATAACACTTTTGCTTTTTGAAGAAGAAAGCAATCATTGTGTAATACTGTGGCTTAAGTGCAAGATGTCCTTGTCCTTGTGTGTATTTTTACCTCAGAGAAGGTGCCAGGAGTCTTCCAGATCATCCAGATCATCCCCAGAGGGATGCAGACCATCGAGGACATGGCCATGAACCAACCGATACCATAGCCCCAGTCAGGGTAGGTGTACACGTTGTTGTACTTCAGTGGTTTGTATTTAATCAGGAAGAAGAGGAAAATTGCCTGCAATAGACACAAATTTAAATTCTGTTGTTGTTTACATTAAGAGAAAGAAATGCCTAAATACATGTCACACACTTTAAATTCAGTGTTGGTATGGTGCTGTAGTAAATACTGTAGTAATACATGTGAAAACAATCCACCCAAATTGCTTAATGAACAATTGTGTAACATGTTAATACTTTCTCCTAAATGCAGGTATCAATCAAAGCTTCATATGCAGTTTTCCAGTCTTTTTGCTGGCATTAAGAAATAAGATAACATTTGTTCCTTTATTGATCCCTGTAGGATAAATTGTCACAGCAGCACAGGGGAATATAGTGCAAAGAGTGAATAAAATAGAATAAAATACAACCAAATACACTAAATTATAATAAAATAATTCAATAAAATAGAATAGAATAAGCCTGTGTAAACATGCAATATTTCTGAAAGTATTGTGTATGTACATTTGCAAAACCGGTGTTGTGCTTGACAGTTAAATATTTAAAACATAACTATACGCAGCGGCCCGGGTTCGACTTTGCTGCATGTCATCCCTCTCTCTCTTGCCCCCCTTTCCTGTCTCTCTCTAGCTGTCCCTGTCAATAAAAGGCATAAAAGGCCAAAACAATAATACTTTAAAAAACATGAAACTGTAGGTTCCGGTGTAATTGGTTGTATGGTAACAGCTACAGGATACAACTGAACAAGCCTGTCCTTCATCACTGTCCTCATGTTGTTGGCTATAATAATGCTACTCCTGCTCTTCTTTGTGTTTGCAATGAAACTCACAGCACAGATGCCCGGGGTCAGGATCATCCAGCACCACTTAATGAAGAAGACTGGTTTGTAGCCAATCATGTCCTCAATATTTAGGTAGAATCTGTCACTACCTGAAATACAAATAAGTGTCACTCAGGGTATCTGCATGTAACATCCAAATAATGACGCGATTGATGTCTTTTGACAGTATAGGGCCGTCTGAACAGAAATGTTGACGAGATGTGAATAAAATGCTAAAGCTGTTGAACTGAAACTTTCTTTGTAGAGAAACAAAATCATTTTGCTTTGCTGCATGTATGAATTTGGTTTGTTGTTAAATAATCTGCTTAAATCAGGAAGATAATAGTGTAAAACAAAATGTGATATCTCATAAAAAGGTTTGTCAACCTGAATAACATTTAGTGAATGATGCATGTGTTTGAGCTCATTCTCCAGCAGAGGGCAGAGAAGAAATATGGTTGGATAAGGAGGGTAAAAGCATGATATAATATTTGTACAAGAGCCTGTTTGTCTGTGCTGAAATGTGTGATAGCCATTCAGTTGACAGAGGACAGACCACTGTTATCTGAAGTAACAAGGTTGAGCAATGGAAAACAAACACTTTGAGATCTCTAGTTAGATTTCAAATTGAGACAGATATCTTACCATAGACCCAGCCGATACATATGGACTCAAATATGGCCACAAACAGCAAACACATCCCGCTGGCAGCGTAGGAGTCAAACAGCTGGAAGACGTACATCCCTCCCTGATAGGACAAGACAGGTGTCAGTTTTCTGTCACAACCTCCATATGAGCATCAGACCCAGTTAGATCACATCATCTCATATGAAATGAATTTGGTTGTCAGGAACCATTATCATAGTGACATGTAGTAAATCAATGTAAACAGCAGCTCTGCACTTTTATTTCTTCCTGAAAATTAGGATTTGTCTCAAGATTACCTCAGTTCAATGCCTCAAGAAATACCCAGTACTAAACTGATACCACTAGTGATAGACCGATTAATCAGTCGACCTATTATTTGGTGAAGCACGGCAGAAAAACAACTTCAGCCAACAGCTTTCTCTTATTTTGTTTTTGTTCTCTGCAAAAACATTTAATAAAACCCAACGTCTACCAGCATCTCTAACGCTCACAAGTCGGCATACTTTATTTTGCTTTATTCATACAATTTAACCTCACCGTGACTACTAGATTCATCATTGTTTTTGTTGGTGCTGTTTCCAGGTTAACCCGAGCTAACTGACTACTAGCTGTAGCTTTGGACAGACAGACATGAGAGTGCATCAACAGAGGTGGAAAGTAACTAGACTACTCATAATACCCGAGTACAGTTTTGTATTTGTACTTTACCTGAGTATGTCATGCTACTTCTACTCAATTACAATTCAGAGTAACATATTGTACTTTTTACTCCACTGCATTGATTTCACAGCTTTAGTTTCTAGTTACTGGCAGATTCAGATTATTAATACAAATTCTGATCAACGAATAGTGATGTATTATGATGGGAATTATTATTCTGATGATCAGTGTGATTTTTGTTATAGATTAGGCTACAAAACAGTAAACAAAGTAAAAATTATAAAATAAACCTCCACCTTCATCATTAAAGTGATGCTTACACAATAATTAACATCAATAATTGTAATCTAATTATATACTATTTATTATTTTGAAATGGGCTATTCTGCATGCTGAGTAGTTTTACTTTAACTTGGTACTTTAAGCACATTTTGATGATAACAACTATGTACTTCTAATTTTAAGTAGAACATTTTTAATGGAAGAGTTTCCATTGTTACAGTATCAATTTGGATGCTCACATTTTATAATCCCTCCTAGCTATCCAACTTCCACTTAAGAAAACTCATCCGTTCTTTCTGCTTCCACTAAAAGGGTCATCATGAATAAAATCTAACATGAATCTGAGAGTGGGGTTACATCACTGTACTCATAAACAGCTAAGAATATCGTCAAAATGTCTCAGTAACTGTCTTTATGCCCATGCTTCAGCCAGGTATTGAACTACACTCCCAGAGGACCTTTTGAACTGTGATTTAATCCTACTCTAGGCTTCTTGTGACATTTTATTCATGATGGCTCTTAGGCCGCAAAGAGGACTTAAGTGTCTAGAGTGCAGGTAGTGCTGAAAAAGGAGTAAAAGCAGAGGTAGAAATTGACATTTTTTATGAAGTGTTGACAGGGAATGACATACAGGGGTCAAGTCATTGGACAATGCAGCCGTCTATAACAGACAAAAAACTGAGAGAGAGCTGTACTTTAATATTGCATTAAATTCTTCTTTCATGGCCATTATGGGCCACTAGAGAACAGTACAGTACATTTTACAGTGGGGGTGGATGGAGAGCAGCGCATATGGATACATGAAAAGCTTTTAGTGGATGAAAGACCTTCTTTATAGTGTGAGGAACCAAATTCTCTTCCATTATTACTACATAGAGATGAAGGGTCTTAAAAGCATAGCAGAGCTGGTGACATGAATACAGCCGTAGATGACTTGACCAAAGTGTTGAGTGGAACAGATCTCCAGGTCATTTTATAAACACTGAACTGCAGAAGGCAGCGGATCACATGATACTATTTTAAACTTATAGATCCACATTTTTCCTATCATATTGTTGACCATTTATCTTAAACAGTGTTTCTAAAACTTCTTAAACCGCGTACCACCTCAGAAAACATTAGGCTCTCCAAGTGCCGCCATTATTGCCAACGTTAAAACACCCTAACATAGGCATACGAACAATTCACACAGGGGGCAGGTTTATTCCTTATAAGGTTAATTATTGTTGACTGTTGTTGAATTGTGAACAGTTTACGTCTCTTCCTAATAGTTCCTGCTTGGAGCCACAATTGCAGTGTTTTGGAACCATTAATTTTACCTCCACTTACTATCTTGCCACATCATATTGTAGTTCATAACTAATTACAGATGTATGCACACACTATGTGCATGAAAGTGTCAATGTAGCAGGCTGATATTGAAACAAAATATTTCAGGAAATGTAAAACTTATTTTAAATGACATTTCAGAGATCTTATGGTTCAAGTATTTTCAATCAAATGTTGTGGTATTTTGATGGTATATAATTTAAATTAATTTGTTTCATTTAAAAAAAGAAATCATTCTTAAAATGTATTTATAATTTATTATTATATTTATTTATAAAAACATTCCAGTGATTCCTCCACATACCATAGTTTGAGAACCAGTGATCTATAATGTACCTGGCTGGGTTTCATCTCAAACTTGTAAATTGGGGGTGATGATGATGAAGATGATGATGGTGATGATAATGACGGCGATGATGATATGTCTGCATATTGAATAAAAAGATAAACATGAAGTAAAGGAAAAAAATGGTGTATTTCCACCGCTGAAATATACGGAAGCGTATTGCATTCACTTGAAAATTCTGTTTTTCTGAGTAATTTATTTTTTGGTTTGTTTTTTTGAATAATTTTTTCAGTTTTTCTGACAATTTTTGTTTCTGACATTCATGTTTGTTTCCGTTTGTTTCCGTTAAATTGAGCTCTCAATAAAGGAATGAATGCATCTATTGTTTCAAATGCTCTCTAAAAATGAATCAGAAAAACAGAAAAAAAAAAAAATATTCAGAAAATCTGAAAAAAATGACTCCAAAAAACCAACCATAAAAATAAATTACTCTGAAAA